GATCAAGAGTGCTTAAGAGAGTGGGAGGGGGTAAAGAAGGAGAGAGAACGAACGTAGGAGGGAGAAGGGGGGTAAAAGGGAGAGATTGAGGTAGAGATAAAAAGACATACAGTTGGTTTGTTTTTTGCAGCTTGTGTATTTTGCTATTTCTCCCTTGGCTTCTTTGTACTATGGAATAATTGGTGTCCAAGAAGCTGGTGAAAGGAGTTTAATACTTTTGTTTGTTTGCTTGCTTGTTTGTTTGTTTGTTTCCTTGGGTAGTATCTTATCTGATTTTTTTCGTCCGTTTACTTATATCCTCTCATTTTGTTTTCTTTTATTTCCCCCCTTCTTATGTCATGCTTTATCATGTAATGTCAAGTCACTTTTATCCAGTGTTATGCTAGGCTCTGTTACACATTATAATCATGTACTCCTGTTCTCTTCTCTTCTCTTCTCTTCTCTTCTCTTCTCTTCTCTTCTCTTCTCATCTCATCTCATCTCATCATATCTCATCTCATCTCATCTCATCTCATCTCATCTCATCTCATCTCATCTCATCTCACCTCACCTCACCTCACCTCACCTCACCTCACCTCACCTCACCTCACCTCACCTCATCTCACCACATCTTGTCTTATCTTATCTTATCTTACCTTATCTTATTTCATCTTATTTATCCTATCTTTTTTCTTCTAATCTCACAGGTCCTTTCGGCGAGTGTGAGTATGACGGACGGACAAAGTGCGGGCCGGGAGGCAAACAGTACAGGGAGGTGTGGTGTACTGTGAGGACTGGCACTGCTGTGCTGGATGAGAACTGTTTGATAGGTCAGTTGTTGTTGTTGATGGTGGTGGTGGTGGTGGTGGTGGTGGCTTTGTTGACGTTGTTGGTGTCGTTTGTCCTGTATATAACTTGTCGTTGTCGTGATCTTCGATAGTGATATTATTGTTGTTATGTTCTGGTGGTGGTGGGTGGGAGTGTGGGCTAGTATTGATGTTGTTGTTGTTGTTCCTGATAATGTATTGTTGTCGTTGGTTCTGTGTTCGATGGCGATATTGTTGGGGTGTGTCTTTGTTTTTCGTGGTAATGGGTTGGAGTGTGGGTGGCTAATCTTGATGTTGTGGGTGGTTGGAGGGTGTCACTGGTAGGTCCTACTTCTTCACTTTCCCTTTGTTGTTTCTGTCTGTCTGTCTTACTTTTTCCCAGCAGTAAATGACCATGATTGTGTCGATGTGCTTCTGTTTCCCCAAACAAACAAACAATCTTGATGTTGTTGTCGTCGCTCTTAACAGTGTAACGATGTCGACATGTTATTGTCGTTGTCATCTATGGTGATATTGTTGTTTTGTTCGTGGTGGTGGGTGGGAGCATGAGCATATATTAGTGTGTTTTTGGGACTCAAATGTAAGTGTATCTGCATGACTTTTTTGCGTTAAATAAAAAATTCGAAAAGTTTAAGAAAAACTATTTTCCTTTATTTATTTTTCTTTCTTTTCTTTTTCATTTGAAAAGGGGGGAGGGGGGGGAATGTTACAATAAAATATACTTCCCACAGTAGTGAGCATCTTGACCTGATACATAATTTTTATTGTAGTCTTTTTGGGTATGTGTATGTGTGCGTGTATGTGTGTGTGTGTGCGTGTATGTGTGTGTGTG